TGGCTATATGAGGACGGTTTTATATGTGGGTTCTCAGTTCTGTTATACTTTCCTGTTTCTTTTCATGTCTTGTTTTTGGTTGAAAACTGACATTGAAGATAATAAGCTGTAGCAACTCTATGTTCTGTTATGTCCTTCTGAGAAATTGCTATTCTTACTGTTATTCTAAAGGGCAGATAACTTTACTTGGCGAAAACTGCAAACTGTCTCACTTGTGATTTTGGCAGCTGCTATTTCTGTTCTTTTAGTTTCTACTGCTGATTTTTAAAAACTGGTCTTCTAGGGATGTCCTCTGCATCTGTATTGCCCAAGTATTTGGGCAGAGTTTATATTTGAATCTTAGAACTCATCATTCTTGCAGTTTCCTTACTCCTGGGATTTTCCTCTTAACTTGCCAAATCCTCTGCCAACCCCAAGCTCTGTCTCTGACACATTAGACCAGTCATACTTCAACTTTGTGCTACCTGACCTTGGTTGTACGGTATTTCATTATGTGGCTATATTATTATAGATAACTCATGAACGTTTTCATTATTTCCAATCTTCTGCTATTACAAACAATGATGCAAAAATATCCATGAATACATTTTATTTCATACATATGTGAGTATACTGCAGGAAAAATTCCTAGCAGTGAAGTTGGTAGGTAAAGGGTATATGCTTTTTGTTTAATTTTTTTAAAAGATAGGGTAGAATATGACAATATCAGTGTTGCTATTAACATTGTGAAACATTGTTTTCTGATGTCTTCTTTATTCAAGTTTAGCGACCGGGTTTTCTGGTTGATTGATATTCCTAGAGAAAACATCACACAAAACACAGGTAAGAGTGATCTGAATCAATGCTTTTACTCATAGGTCTGAATTAATAAATTTAGCAAATAAAAAACATTTATTGTATTAAAAATTATTTGTTATCCTATGTAAATGTTCCATGTAATATTGGTGACATGCTTATTAAAATTTATTTGTAATTCAAATTCAAATTTAATTGAGCTTCTTGTAATTTATTTGACAATCCTATTATAGATTGTTCTGACATACATAACATTAATATTAACCTTTATTTAAAGTAAACTCGTTTTCTAGAACTTGGAAATTGTAGTATTGAGAAGTTTGGGCACTAATTAATTTTACTGAAAAAGAATCATTCATCTTAAGGCTGTATATATAACATTATTTTCTTATGGAGTCTACTATTAAGTGTTATGTGGCAGTGTAGCATTATATGCTACTGTATATATACAAATGGAAAGGGGAGAAAAATCAAATTCCAAGAGCTGCTCATCTGTTTCACTAACAACACTGAAACAAGGTATGATGAAAAATTACTCAAGTAACTACTTTAATGGGAGGCTATAGGAAGGGATCCATGGACATATCCAGCTGACATGAAGAAAATAAACATTCAAGCACTGGGATCACTATGGTGCCTTGCTCAAGAGTTGGCACAGGAAAGGAGTTTTCTCTGATTGACTTGTAAAAGACAAACTTTCTTCATAGAGAGTATTAGAAATTTCTATTAGTCTTTATCTTTTCCTGCTTAGTCTTGTATTTTGAAGCATCTCCGGGTTTATTGCTAGGATTGCACCAATCATCTCGCCAGCTTTGGATGTGGTTTTGTAATGGTGCCAAACAGACTTATTAAAAACTCCAAGTCTTTCTTCCAAGTCACCGCAAAGATCTAAAAAGTAAAAAAAAAAAAAAAATTAAAAACACTGGAAGTCTCTCAAATGATTCACTTAAAAGTGCCTTTAAATAAATGATAGCATCAGTACCCATTCATTCTATCAAATAGTTTCAGATCTCCTTGAAAATATCTAGCATACAGATGAAAAATGGCAAATTTTAACCAAATCCAGCTATGGGGCAGATCTTTTAGGCTCAAGGCTATGTCTATGAGGAAGCAAATACGTGTGATTTTAAAAAGATACCTTTTCAATGTGAGACACCATCATCTTGGTTACTTATCTTAGTGGAAAAATGTTTTTTACTCAAAGTAACAAGGATTTTAACAGCCAAATATCTCTCCTATCTGTCTCCATGTAGCGCTACGGTTGTTCTCACTGAATTCTTAATTAGTATGTGAAACAGATATCTAGGCACATAAACTACCTGAGTAAGTTTGTCTGAAGCTTTGGCGTTGAACTCTTCAGTTTCCAGCTCTGGAGCTACCAGTTAAATACTGTTCACACAGCCTTTTGGCTGTTTCATATACATCTTTCATGACGTCAGCCATGTTACACGTGAGATCAATGCTTCCTGTGCATTTAGGATGAGCAAGGATAGCGTCACTACCAAACAAAAGTGTGTGCTGATTAATAGGTACATGGGAAGAAATGCAGCTGGTATAAAACAAATCCAGAAAATATTGGATGTTATCGCTGCTGAAAGGAGCGATACTTTTCCTTATATTTAATCATTCCATGTACCACTATGGGAACCACATCATTGCTTTTATTTCTGGCTTAAAACAGGACTTACGGAAAGTTATCTAAGATCTGTGGATCCTCAGGGCTCTTATTTTCTTATTCTAAAAGTTCAAGAAAGTTCTGAATATACCAACTTTGAGCCAGTCCCACTGAAGGCCAGTTAAGCAAATTATCCGTCAGAAAACTGACTTCCCTCACTGTGTTAGCCAGTAGCACAGAAATCTCCTTTTGTAGAATCATATATGATGTTCTCTCACGCCATCTCTCTCCCAAATTCTAGGAACTGCTTGATGGAGAGCAGTGACAACAAGAGGCACAAATAGCACCTGGTCTACTTGGGTACCAGCTGCTTCACTAGCCACCGGTATAGCCATAGCCTCACCAGGACAGTGCACAGATCCGCCTGCCTGCCTGAGTGGACATGAGGACCTGTGCAGTCAAACCGTGTTCTTCATGAGCACACTCCAGTTTCAGTTTCAGCCTCAGCTTCGGCCTGTAGGTGCAGCCACTTCAGCAGTTCCCAGGCTAAAGCTGCTGCTGTGCTGCTGATGACTTCCCCAGGCCCCACCCATTCTTTTCCTTTTAACCCATCTACGTTCTTACATTTTAAAGTGGGTTTCTTAAAAATAGCATATAGTTCAGTCTTGATTTTTACATCTAATCTAGATATCTGTCTTTTTAGTTGATATTTTCAGACCATTTCCATTTAATGTAATTGTTCATATGGATGGTTGTAATGAAATATACCCCCTTACAGGTGGTTTTCTATTTGTTCCATCTCTTCTGTTTTACTTTTTTTCTCTTTGTTGTCTTCATTCATACTAATTATTTTATGATTCCATTTTGTCTCCACTATTGGCTTATTATTTATACCTTAAACATTTTTTTAGTGTTCACCGTAGGGTTTACACTATATATTTTAATTAATCATTGTCTACTTTTCAATAATATTATCCCACTTCCCAAGAAGTGTCAGAATTTGCTTTTTATCATGCCACAACAGTTCTAGGAGAAAAATTATGATCTAAAATATTAGTATTCATTGCTATAATGGTGAGATCACTTCATAATTCCTTTTTCATTATTTTATCAGCAAAATGTTTATAGGGATAACACAGGAAACATGACATACAAAGACAGTCAAGATGGTTGGAAAAGAAAAGATTATCATTGTTGGTAATGTTCATATATCCTTAAATTTCACCAACATGACATATGAAAAAATAGTTGATTATTTGTCTTTTGTTTTCAAACAGATATTGCAGCTGTAGAAGAATGGCTAGTAAGGATCACTTTACATCATGGATTAAATATTTATGCTACTGAAGGAACCCTATTGGATAGTATTCGAGGTAAATGCCAGCAGACAAAAGTAAAATGAAATTCATATATTCTTTCAAAAACCTTTGACATTTACTATACGCCAGACTCTGTACTAAGTCCTAGAGATAAAAAATAAATAAATAAGAGATAATCCTGACCCTTGATGGGGCAGAAAAAGAATTAAATACATGTAGGTAATTGTTAATACAGGTCTGTAAAGAGTGCTATAGAAATATGGTAGTATCTCTTTTACTCTGACCACATTGGGGGTCTTTATAAAGTTAGTTTAACAATGGCTTTATAAAGTTAGTTTTTGTATCTTAGATGCATCTTAGTTAAATATTGTTCATTGCACCACAGTCTTCTTTATGAGGACTACCAGTAAAAATTCTTGCCTAGTCTTAGTAATAACACTTGGGTTTTTCTTAATATTAAAAATTAGTTGTTTTAAGTTTATATACACAGAGTAATATAACTAATAGGCTTCTCTTTTTCAGTTGTCTGATAGGAAATGTATAGCCCAATTTTTAATCACCTATAGAACTGTAGTATAAATTTTTTTTTTTTTTTTTTTTGAGACAGAGTCTCACTCTTTTTTGCCCGGGCTAGAGTGCCGTGGCATCCTAGCTCACAGCGACCTCAAACTCCTGGGCTCAAGCAATCCTTCTGTCTCAGCCTCCCGAGTAGCTGGGACTACAGGCATGTGCCACCATGCCTGGCTAATTTTTTCTATATATTTTTAGTTGTCCAATTGATTTCTTTCTATTTTTAGTAGAGACGGGGTCTCGCTTTTGCTCAGGCTGGTTTCGAACTCCTGAGCTCAAACAATCCGCCCGCCTCGGCCTCCCAGAGTGCTAGGATTACAGACGTGAGCCACCGCGCCCGGCCTATAAATTTTTTTTAATCCTCAGTTCTGGGTCTTGTATTTATTCTCACTATCCTCACCTTCCTTTTTGCTTTTATTGTTCTAGTCCCACTTGGATATGATACTATATAAAATGCAGAGTAAAAATAAATAAATATTACATTTTATGGAAAGAATCACCTGGAGAGCTCTAAAAAATGTAAGAATGTCTCAACTCTATTATACACCAATTAAAATCTGACCTCTATTAGTAGGACCAGGCATCTGTAGTTTTAGAAAATCTTTTCAGGTGATTCTGATATACAGTGAGGATTGAGAACTGCCTTAAAGGAATATGATTGTATATGTGCCTAACAGACATGTAGAAACCTCTTTAATGCAGCATTGTTTGTAATAAAAAAGAACTGAAAACAACTTAAATGTCTATAAATAGGGGAACAGGAAAATACATGTTGGTATATTCTGGGTTTTTTCCCTGAGAAAAAAGATATTTTATTGTATAACTATAGTATTCTAACCAAGATCAAGGCATTTAGCACTGAAATAATACTATAACCTAACATACAGTTCATATTTAAAGTTAGACAATAGTCCCAACAATGACTTCTATAGCCATAATTTTCTTGTCCAGAATCCAATCCAGAATCAAAATGCATTTAATTTTCATGTCTCTTTAGACTTAAGTCTTCAAAAGCTCTTCAGCCTTTCTTTTGCTTTTTTGATAGTGAAATTTTTGAACAACATAGACCATTTATGATATAGAATTTCTATCATTTGGGTTTATTTTAGCTGTTTCAATCTATTATTTCTTTATTATTTCAGTAGATTTAAGGGTTATAAATTTTTTTTTTCTGTTACATGGATGAATTGTGTAGTGGTGAAGTCAGGGCTTTTAGTGTACCAGGCACCCAAATAGTGTACATTATACCCAATGGATAATTTTTCATCCCTCACCACCCTCCCACCCTGCCCCCACTTCTGAGTATCTTCTTAGAGCCTTTGTTCATTTGATTCTTTTTTTCTTTATATTTGACTGGCTGGACTAATTCGAAAGACTTGTCTGCAAGCTCTGAAATTCTTACTTCTGCTGGGTCTAGTCTATTCTTAAAACTTTCCACTTTATTTTTATTTCCCTAAATGAATTTTTCATTTCCAGAAGTTCTATTTGGTTTTGTAAAAATCTATCTATCTATTTAAGACATTTTTCACTCATTTCCTGAATTATTTTTCTGGGTTTTTTTAGTTGATTTTCTCTTGGATCTTATTGAGCTTCCTTACAATCCATATTTTGAATTCTTTATCTGTCATTTCAGTATTTTCATTTTGGTTTGGATCCATTGTTTGCTAGAAAGCCGATGTGATCCTTTTGGGGGGTCATTACACTCTGTTTTATCACTTCCAGAGTTCTTGCGCTGATTCCTTCTCATCTGGAGAGGCTGTCATTTCTTGTTTTTGAATTTTCTTTTGTTTAGATAGAACTTTTTTCCCTTCCTGCTTAAGGGTGTGACTGTAGCATATATTGGATATGGTCCTTTGGCTTTGCTTATGGGTACTTTTGAGGGGGCTAGGTTCTGAATGAGTACTTTGGTTATAGAGAGCCTTAGCGTGGTTTTTTCTCATTTTTTCTCACTTGCTAGTATTTGTAGGCTGTAGCAGTTGTATAGTATGTGTGTGGGTAGATTCCTGGCCTCGTACCAAGAAGGGGAGATGGAGGTCTCTGAAATCTCTCTTTTCACAGCTCTGTGTACTTCTAACAGTATGAATTACATTGGCACATCCAGTTTAACACCCAGGTCAGTAGGTGGCACTTGCAAGTAAGAGTCAGCCAAGCCCCCTTCCCTGGATCCAGGTCCAGGGGCCACTGAAGGCTCTCAGTGGCCCTGTGCTAGAAGTCCAGCTTCTACCTTCACCCTCAGGGTCTCCCTGTCACCTCTCTGTTATCTTCAAGCATTTTTTCTCTGATGATCTATTTGAAATATGGGTATTTGATGAATATCCTGGTTGCTCTCTGAAGAAGAGATGAACACTAGCTGCCTTTAGCCAGCCATCTTGAAAACTCATATATTCTATTAAATTAAGGGAATAGAACCATATATATATCATCAAGAACACAGAGTGAAAAGCCAAATTTCATTCTGATTCAAGCAACTGAGACAGAAAAAAAAAGAAAAGAAAAATCAAGTTGCAGAATAGAGTAAGAGAGTATTTATCTAAAATTCAGAAAATACAAAAAACAATGCTATATAGTCTTCATGCATACATACATATTGCAGAAAAATATAAAAACATAGACTAGAAATATACACAGCAATTTTATGCATCTGTGGAGAACTTGGGATGGGACTAGGGAGGGGAGCAGAGGAGTCTTCAATTGTATCTATATTGTCTTATTTCTTTAACCAAAATTAAAATATAACAAACATAACAAAATGTCCTTGTAGATTTTTTTCATAGTTTCAAAAAATTTTTAAAAGTGAGTCAATTATGCAATAATAATTGCAATCCTGGCTTTGGGACTCTCTGGTATTTTGACATCCTATGCTATTTTTAAGTACTAAAATAACAATATAAAATTGTTACTTCAATTTTTTTTAAAAAAATGTGAAATCTGAATCATTTACATATTGAGAACTGCACTAAAATATTAAATTATATTTATGTAGAATATACAGAGGTATAATGGCAGCAAAGAGCTTCACAAATCCTTGAAAGACCCAGATGCAGAAATGAGATTGATCTGTTTGAGAAACTGAAAGGAGATCAGTGTTGCTGAAGCATAGTCAGTGACAGACAGAATGATGCGTAATGAGTTAGGAGAGGCTGGCAGGGATTGTGGTAAAAAGTGTGGACTTGATTGTAATTACAATTTAAAGCCATTAGGGTGTTTTAAGCAGAAGACTGATAAGTTATGATTTATCCTCTATAAAAAGATCGCTTTGGCTGCTGTTTAGAGAACTGACTCCTGAGGAGGGATAGCATGAATGAAATTGGTAGCAGCTGCTGCAATGTCCACTCAGGAGATGGCCTGGAGTACTAGGACTGTGGTGTTAGCATGAGACGGTGAGAAGTAGAGCCTTCAGAGTACATTTTGGAAATAGAGCTGCTATGGCTTCCTGGTGGACCGGGGGGGAGGGGGAAGAAAACAGCAGTAGCAAGTCAAGTTGAGGATGATATCGTTCACTGAAATGCTGCAGACATGAGGAACAAGCACTGGGACATGGGAATCAAGGGTTAAGGCTAGAAGAAATTTTTATTCACTACTAGACTCAAAAGAGATGTTTGAAAATCTTGTCCCTACTTCTTTATCTTGCCCCAATCCTCACCCCAAACCACTCATCAGTTTCTGTCTCCTCCGCTCCACTCAAACTGCCCTTCATCACAGACACCAGTGACCTTCTTATTGATCACTTCTGTCTCCTTTTTGGCTTCAGTAGCAGTCAAAACTTTTAATCACTCCCTTGTTATTAAAACGCTTACTACAGTCTCTGACTTCAAGGCTCTCCTACAGAAATAAAGGGGCATTGTCAATTCAGTGCAGTCGTGTCCCAGAGGTAAGCTCAGATCTCCCTATTCTTTAAGATCTGGGTGTGAATGGCCTGCAGACATGTACTACACCCTAAAAAGTCAGCTGCTTTTTCCTAAATTTTTTTGCATTCCTGAGTGACTGAATTAGTTATAAATCACGTCTCTTTCCCTTTTTGGGTATCTCTGCCCTACACTATGTCAACCCAGAGGTAAACTTAACTCCTTTTCTTGCTTTGCACAAAGTGAAAAAAAAAAATGACAGAAGGTCTTTGGGTTTGTAGCAGATTTTATTGAAAGTTTGGAGAGACAGAGGAGATTTACATGGTAGAGTGTAAATAGCTAAAGAACTGATTATTAACTATCTCTGTTCTTAAAAGTCCTTTGACTATTTTTAAAATTCAGACAGTAGTATTCTTTCAAATTGCCCTGGCTTACTTTCTGTGCTCTCTTTTCTCACTTTTTTTCAGGGGAAAAAAATCCTCCCATTTTTTATGCATGAAAATTCGACTTTATCTAGTTCTAATCCTTTGCATATCCACTAATGGTATTTTATGTTTTAAAATTTATGAACCCTTGTCTGATTAAATTCTTTCACAAGGACTGTTATCTACCCCAGTCTCATGAGGAAGAGTTAATTTTAGTCTTCTAGTTACAGTGAAGTGCAGAGTATTGGAGCACCTGGGAGGAGAGCCTCACTCATTCTAGGGCTTCACAGAAGCTTCCCAGAGAGGGTGACATCAAAATAGAGGCCTGAAAAAATGGCTGGGAGAAAACCAGATACTCAAAGTCCCATGAGCTAGGTCCTAGAATGGGAGGGCAGTTCTGGCAAGAATTAAAGCTGAGGCATCCAAAGGACATCAAATCCTGGAAAGCCTGTTTCACCATGTGAAGGACCTTTTTTGTCACTTGTGCTGCTCTTCTGCCTGTGCTGGGCTGGAGGTGCCTCACCTCTGATTGGTTTCTCCTGTTAATCCCACTCCCAACTTCTTTCTGTCTTCCAGAAATCCCTTTAAGTCTCATAGCCACTAATGATAACTTTCCCTGTTCTCCACTGCTACCCTGGATTTATTCTCATTTTTATATTAATATATCTACTGCTGTTTTGATGGCATTGGGGAAGAGAACAAAAAGTAAATATGTGGGCTCTTGTGCAGAAGTTGTTCTCTAAACTGTAAATGTGCACATTCTGTGATCCAGAAATTCCATTTCTAGGGATAGATCCTGTGGCAAATGGTATTTTCCAAATACGGCCAAAGCAATATCTCCCATCCCATATGCTCTTCTACAGTGTGACCTTGTGGCCGCTATCAAGAGGAATTAGGCTTTATTCCTTCTACTCTGGAAAATAAGAATCGACCTATTTTTAACCAATGAACAGTGAAGTAATATACCCTTTCTTGAACTATAGAATAGTTTCCTTACATAGTTCTTTAAAAACCTTTAAAGGAAGGTAGCAACATTCCATTTTCAAGAGTGCTGCCACAACTTGAACGCCTAAATTTGATTTCCACAGAACCTATTCTTCAGTGGACTCTTGGGATTATGATTCCAAAAAGTGAGGTCAGCAAATTATATCCACATGTGATAGATCTCAAAGTGACAAAATGCCCCTGTGCCAACGATGTAGCACTACTAGGCTTCATTTTGAATACCACACTTGATGGTAAGTTTATAGCTTTATTAAATGTTGGAAGTGGCTTTTGAATTTTATAATAATGATGTTTAACTGGTAGCACAAACTAAATGCATAGACATAGTGGAGTAAAAATGCTTCTTAAAATCACTTAATTATTTACTCTTCATCACTCCACCTTGTCTACTTGCAAGTGTGATATCCTAAGTATATTTTTTGCTGTGACTTTTGCCATGTTAATGGTGACTTTGGTGTCTCTCCTAATTTCATTTATCCTCTGCCCTCCATTAATGTTACTCCTCCCAGAGATTATTCATTGTTTCTAATCCATCTACTATTCCTGCCATGGATATTGTTTTCCCAAGGTATCATATTATTTTATTTATTATGTATGCATTTTCCTTTACTCCTGTAATATCTAATAGCATCTGTTTTTCTCTATATTCTCATTCACAACACTTCTGACACCAAATGTATGGATTCCACACCAAGTAATTCTCTAGTTCTCTGTGGACACCAAGTGGTGTCCTATGATTTAATTCCACTGTGGCACTAGCTACCTGGAGTTACCACAGCCCTCCCACACACTCACACACAAATTAAAGACTCAGTCTCACAAGACCATCCCCCAGTTCAGGTGCCAGTCACAAGTCCCAGGTTGTGGTCTGTCATCAACAAACTCTCCCATACCAATATTTTTTTCTCTAAATGGTCCCTTAACTTTCTTGCCATAAAGAGTAGCCTAGTCATCCCCAGACAACATTCTTTCCCCTTAGTCCTCTCACATGTCATATATCTCAAAGCCCATGGGGGAGATTGGTCCTTAGGGCTATTACTGAATAATTACTCCTATCTTTCTCATTTGAAACTTTCAGCTCTTTTGAACTCAGACTTTGCCTCCCTCTAAGTCAACTTGGTTGCCAGCATATAGTAACCTCCTTGTCACTCACTCATTGATGAGTTTAGCCTCTGAGTCCCTGCCTTCCTCTCCACCCTGATTTTTGTCCCTATTTTTGGTGACTTCACCATCCATATGGATGACGCATGCAATACCCAGTTTCAAGACCTCCCTTCCTCCCATGACCTTTTCCCCATCTTACTCCTATGGTTGTATTCTTGACCTCGTCATCTCTAATAATGTCATCATCTCCAAAATCTTCACCACAAGCGTCTCACACTGTCCACTGCCCCCATTCCTTCAGTCTATTCTAGTACTCACACACCAACATTTCTTTGATATCATTGAGACTTTGATATATTGTTTCTTTCACTTTTTTCACCCAATATCCTTATTTTCCTCTTTTCTCACCTTAATTTTCATAGTTCATCCTTAGTTTTCTAGGAGGGCTCCTTTTTGGTGTGACCCCTAAATGTTGATGAACCTAGGGCTTTGTTCTTGACTCTCCTTCCTTAAGAAATCACATTCTCTCTCTGGAAGATTTAATCCAGGCTGATGGTAGTAATGCTACCTTCAGGCTGTTGATTCCTAAATCTATGTTACTTAAAGGACCATCCCTTTAAGACCAAACCACTTCTATGTTCAGTTGTCTGTTTTGCATTTCCTCTTGATATATAATGAGCATCTCAAATATAACAAGTCTAATCCAGAACTCTTGATTTATCTCCCTCCAAAATCCGTTCCTTTCCAGTATTTCTCATCCCAATTAGTGTTAAATTAGTCAAAACTGAAATCTAGGACACATTCTTGACTACTCTCACTTTCACAGTATTCCAGAATGGTGCTATCTCCAGGGTCCATCCCCAATGTGATCACCTCTCTTCTCTGCTAACGTCTTATGTCAATTCAACATTGTTTTTCTGTTAGACTAATTCTATTAGACCCTGTTTCTATTTTTGCCCCAATACAACCCATCCTCCATATAGCCACCAGAGTGATCTTCTCAGGTGTAAACCAGATTCCATCACTTCCCTGCTTCAAACACTCCAGTGGCTTCCCTTTGCCATTAGAATAAAAGCCAAACTCCTCACAATGGTCTACATCAGCTTCTGTAACCTACAATTGTGGGCAGTTTGTCATAGAGAGTGACCTATAACTTAATTTTAGTCTAAAAATATTAACCAGTATAAAGTGTTTATTTGTTTATTTTATTTCTTATTTCTCCATTAAATATCCCTAAACTTTGCAGGAATCTGATCATGTGATATCATGCTGGACACCTATAATCATTCCCACTTAGAATTTCCCACTGTTACCTATAAAACTAGACTTAACGCTTAGGAAGGCCAAGGTTATCTTTAGTTTTTCTCTTCCTGGAAAAAGTAGACAATAATAAAACTTCCTTCTACATCTTTCCCTACACAGAAAAGAGCTGGAAGTTGCAACACACACTTCACAAGACCATTTGCCCTACTTTCTTCTTTTGGAAACAAAGTATATGCATTAGATTGTTAAGTGTCTTTAGCCTCCCCATACTGCCCCTGCCACCCCCCCACCCCCGCTCCCAGTAGTCATGCCTGTTGGCAAAACTTCAGAAAAGGCATACAATTTTGTTAATATTTACATGCACGACAGTTCACAGAAAAGAAGTGAAACTCAGGTGGTTAAATTCAGGAACTTATTAACACATACCATTTTAACAAAGGAAAGGGGTTTGGACTTCAAGGGGCAATAAGTTGTAAGGAAGTTGCGACTAGGAAATATAGGGAACTAATGGAAGGTAAAGGGTTATTATAGTAAGGTGTGTTTATGGAAACTTGTCTTGTTGTCTACTCCCCAGTCTCCAGTGATAAAAATGCTCTTCTTTTCCCGGTACAAGAGGAAATTTATGCCCTGCTTTTAGGCAGATAAAGGGAGGGCAGAGCCTGCATCTGTTGATTCTCAATTGCCTTCAGCTCAAAATAATCCTTAAGCCAAAGTGGCATATTTTGGGGTGGCATATTCTTATTTCTTTCAATATGAAACAAAATACAGTACAGCTTGGAAAATATTTTAATAGGATAAACCAATACATTAGGAGGATTTATTTTAAGGGCATATTATTTCCAGAGGTAATTATTCTAGGCATCAGTCAGGTGGTTGGATAAAATTCTGTGGTGTAACCTGCAGTTACTTCATCTTTCCAATGCTTGGAGAAATGAGAATCAAACAGAGGGGAGGAGGGTTGACGTGGGAGAGGAGAATGGGTTGGAAGACAGAACAGATTCAGGCTCTTGCCTGGGAAAGCCTGGTACTGCAGAATTGAGTGACTAGCTTTGTAAAGTTATCTAGCCTTAATTTTCCTTTTCTTTCATGGTAGGTGTTTACATAGGCCTAACCTTTTCTGGATTTTGGAATTATCATGATACTACATGGTATAACTTGACAGATACTGTCTATTCTCACCTTCAAGAAGGTAATTCCTCCAACAGTGCCTTCATCTTCAGCATTTCACTTATATTAATATCAACACTTGATTGATATTTATAAAATGTCTTTGTTTTGCTAAGGAGCTCACTTTTTTTCTTCCTTTTTAACCAATGATATCATTTCTTCTTTTAGAACACGCAGACCTTTCAGTGGTGGATATGGTTTTAACAAATCATTTTTTAGTTATCCTCACAACTTTGGGTCTTTTTGTAAGTGAAGATCTTCGTTATCCATCACGCCAACTCTTAATGGTATGTAAATTGCTTTGTAACTAATAGTTAACCTTAAATATCTTCCATGACAGAAAAAGAAATATTTGATATTTGAGTTATGTGTAATATATCTTAGAATTGAAATACTCCTTCCTTTTAAAAAATGTAAAAGCATAATACAGCAAATTATTCCTTTGCCTTAAAGTATTGAATATATAATTTGGAAATGGTGCTAGTTTTATTGCTGTATAAATTTATAGTAAGTTTTAAATACACATGTAGAAAAGATTTATCTATCTATTGATCAATTGATCAATATGTTTATAGCTATATGTGATTCCAAAATAAGGTAATTTGTAAAGCTAAATATAGTATTACAAAGTAACATAAATTAAGCATGAGCATCAGGATTGAGAGATGTAAATATATGTCTAGGTGAGGATATGTAATATGCATACCATGAAATTCTTAAACATGTTAGTAAATATCTTTCAAAAATTACCACAACAGAGATGAGACCAGTAATGAAGACTTAGGAGCAGTAGAAGAAAAGATAAGGGGAAGTAAAGAAGAGACACTTGTATTGGTTAAGAAATACAACATGTATATTTCTTATTCATGGTATTATTATCTTTCTTCAGGTATATGAATATTCACAGTTTCCCCTCCTTCCTCACCATCTCTGAGAAAGTGCCATGCGTTGCTCAGACAACCAGTAGATCTGGCCTTTTATATGTTTATCATGTAATTGCTAAAACAGAGAGTTGAAGAAGCCAGGAAGGCTTCAATGGCTTAAATTCAAAGTGCAGAGAAGCAGACATGGACCATACATCTGAAGTGCTGATCTCTGGGGTGCAGTGGGCTGGGCAGAAGAAGCAGAGTGGCAAAGGAGAAAATAATAGGTTAAGGGCATGTTTTCCTAAACCCAAGTAGGGTTTCCTAAACCAAGTAGGTGGCAGACTTAGTATCTTCCTGCACATTTCTTAACTCCTCCATTTAAATCTTTAAAAGGTATGGTTTTCACCTCAAATCCTTTCTGTAATTACACTAAGGTATAAATAGATTAACAAAATGGTGAAATGAGGCAAAGACTGAAGGGGGAATCTCCAAGATAGTGTGTAAACTACGTCAGAGGTTGAGTATTTTAGTGTTTGATCATGCTAACTGCTGGGATAGAAAAGCATAATTTCATTTGGTATAACTGAAATTGCTATGTTTTGTTATGCCTTCTGATATGCAAGCAAAAATTAAAGTTTCTTTTTTTCTTCTAGTTTTCAAGGGCAGACTTTTGTGGTTTTGAAAGGGTAAGAAGCTTTAAATTTCCCAGAGTTGGTTAGAAGATACTTGTTTATTTGGTGACTTAAGAATAGATTATTCCTGTTGCTATAATATTCTTTACAGTTTGAACAAAAAAATTATTTCTAGCAACCATTAAACAATGACCTCCTCTTCTGTTTCAAAGTAAGAAGTGCTCCTCCTTGTTTTAGAGGCTACCCCATACCCCTTCTCATATTCTCTGTCCAGGCTTGCTATGGTTGTTCAGGTCTTATTCTGCACAAGGGTACTTGATTGAAGAGAGCAGAGGCTAGAATCTGGCTAATGCTTTACCTTCCAATCCATCTACCCTGTTGTAGGTCTGTGCGTACCTGGAAAAAGGAGTGCTTTTTCTAATTTGCACAAAAATGCCATATTATGTAGCCACAGCTCTGCTTATGGCCTTTTTGGGGATTTTGTTCCATCAGTTATCTCCCCTCTCCATTACAAAGTCAGATTTTGACTGTGAATCAGGCCTGGGTCCTGAGCTTACCCTTGGAATGAGGTAAACCTGATTTGAATTACATTTTCCCCAGGATAATGTACCAGTTATCTGTTACCAGTTTAATTCCAAGTAGGACAAAACAAGAAGGAATTGAAAGAGAAAGAAGAGGAATAGTTCAGGGCCCAATAAAGATATTAATTGCCCAGATATTATAATGATATTTATAGTATCCTGAAAATCTGAACATCTATATGAGAACTGAAATGTTTGTTTGATACAACATCTTAGCTTGAAGATACCACCATTCAAATGCGTTGTTGTCCATTCCATTTTTAAATGCTTTTTAATTTTATTTCTTTAGAAGTTTTATCAAGATATAATTCACACAGCATAAACTTCACCCATTTAAAATGTACCATTCAGTGGCCTTTAGTATATTCACAGAGTTGTGTAACCATCACAATTTTGGAACATGTAAAAGGCTTCTATGCACAGATTATGCAAATTTTATTACTGCTCTATAAAAATGTGAAAAGGTCTTCCTTATGTCTCAATAATTTGAAAGTCAGAAACTTCCTATAACAAAACCATTTCAAGCTGTTGCATTTAATTAATATCCTACATATACACTCCCATTTTCTTTGAAGCTTGTCTCTTACAATCAATTTTCAAAACCTTTTCCCTGTTGCTTCTTGCAACTGTCTGGCTTCTGTGAGGGCTCCTTAAACCCAGTTGCAGCTAAAGAAGAATAAAAGATAAACATGTGACCCATTGTAACTGACAAAAGGCTAATGGCTTCTGGTAGCTTTAGAAAGACAGTTCATAGACAAGAGCATCTTCCACTAACATACGCTGATCCCTGTGCAATTTCTGTTCTTTTTATTCCTTTTTTATGTATTGTTCAAAATGTTTAGTCCTCATTCTACAACCTTTTATCTTATTTGCATACAATTTTTCTCTCTTTGCCTCACATCCTATCAAACTTTGAAATTTTTTAGTAAGTTTTTTCTATTTTATATCTTAAGTCTACATATTGCCTAAATGATATTTTTATTTATTTATGTAGGTTGACTATATCAAGGGAAAATTATGGTATAATGAAAGATGTTTTGCTAACAGAGAACACTTTGAAGGTAAACTTTAGTAAGTTTTTTCTATTTTATATCTTAAGTCTACATATTGCCTAAATGATATTTTTGTTTATTTATGTAGGTTGACTATGTCAAGGGAAAATTATGGTATAATGAAAGATGTTTTGCTAACAGAGAACACTTTGAAGGTAAACTTTAGTCAAAGGTATACTGTATTAAAAGGCTTTTATGTAGATAACATATATAGATTTAATAAAATGACATAAAATAAAAATAGAATAAAATGTAAAGGTGCATTTGTTTTGTATAATTTAATGTCCTAAAACTGAGAAAAAAATCAAATTTAAATCTGAGACAATAGGCACACCTGCTATAAGTATAAGAAAATTATATTTGAGTATACATTGATCGATGATACATAACTGCTCTTATTTTTTATGAAGGCTATTTTATTAACACTAACCTTTCTTGTTTTACAAATATAGATGCTCCTCATAATTTCTGTACCTTTATATTTTTCAGTTGATTATGTTACTATCACTTTTGAGAGAAACAGGACCCTAAGTGAGGTATGATATTGTATATTTTATAAGGCAAGAAATTTAGTTGTGCATGATTTCATGAATTGTTATTAATCTAAAAAAATGACAATTCTATAGATTGAAAGGCTTA